GATCGGTTTATATTTGCCACTTACAAAATCTAAAGCCAAAGGTTGCACATAATCCACTTTTATGGGCAGAGGATCATCGATCACTTTGGGTTTATTATATTTATAATTTAAGTTTTCCTTGGTGAAGTCATTAGTTTCACTTCTCGTCTGTTGCGAAATTTTATTATCCGGTGGCAAATATCCTTTGTCAAGCTTATTTTCTAAAGGTGGCAAATAACTGCGATCATTTAATTTCAGCTCCCGAACATCTGCTTTAATGCAATAAATTTCGAACAACAGAAAACCAGCCACAATAATTTGTTTATTCTTTAAATAAAATCATAAAATTAAAATTTATTTTTTAAGAGTTTTTTTTTAATAATTGTAGAACTCACCATCATGTTATATGGTCTTAACTTTTCTACTCGGAATAATGAGTTTATTGAAAATATTGCTAAAGGTTTTGCTTGTTTTTATATATAAATATAAAAACATTAATTTACTTTTAATTGCAAATCAATGGCTGTGTATTTGTATAAATATTTGCTTTAGTTTATTGAATTGCATTCATTAACTCTTTGTTATCAATTTAATTTAAGTCAAGTACAAATTACTTTCTTAAGTGTACCCTACGTTTAAGCCGAGTTGTTTAGATTTGTTTCGGTTAGAGCTTTGTAGAGAAATTCGTCTTAACCTTGTAACGTATCATGGGGTTTTGATGATGTAACGACAATATTCCAGCACTTTTTCAAATTAGTGAGAGTCGAATTACGTGATTTTGCAAATCCGATGTTCGAAATACCAGAGAGTTTAAAACACTTAAATAGGCACTATTTAAGCGAATTCAAAACACAACCAATTATATCCGGTAATAGACGGCCTTTATCTGAAATCTTACCAATGAACCCAAGGGAACTTTTAAGGTTAGGAGGACTGTCCTATTGAAGCCACATAACCCAATCTAAAATATTCGACTAAAAGTCAAATCGATATCGCCAGCGTCGATGATGGAATGTGCCCTTAAGTTACCTAAAAAATGGGCTACTAATTGTGGTAATATCAAGTCCACATTTCTGAGAAAATATAAGGAAATGAATACATTCAACTGTTAAAAAATGAGAGGCGAACATCAAAGCAAGCCAAATGTCTAGGAGCAATAATGGATTATAATTCCAATCTAGGCTACGATGTACTCATATCAAAACCCTAATGCATGGGGACTTAAACCAGGTCTGATATATTGATTATACAAAACCAAAGTCAAGAGCTATTCTGACCCATAGATCATCTATTTATTGGTTGTCTACAATAATCGCACGCAGTCATGCATTTTTTATCGAGCAGTTCGGGGGGACACTCCTGAACGTTTAGCTTTACCTGCCACTTAAGATTGCCTCTAACTACCGACTGTTCACAGATGGCTACCTATTTTAACATTGTTGTAAGAGGAAATCAATCGTCACTCCATAGATTACAGACAACAGATCATTTTCAGTTATGGTTTTCTAAAGTGTTTACTCTCTAGATTACTTGGGGACGGTAAAGTAAAGCCAACTAATTGGTTAGACGTTAGCGGAAATGTCTGCCATTTTCGGATGGATTGACTCTTTGTAGAACTTTGCTTGCTATTGAGAGAGAACATGGAGTTGTTGCGCTATATGTAATAGGTACAGGAATCTTGCAATAGATCCACAGAACACAATTCAAACTTAACCAAAATGGCAACTAAGATATAAGGAGGGATTATCAAGCACCATATATTTGTTGGGAGAATAAACCCGGATGGTAATAAGGTGTATACAGATTGAGAAGGAAAATGGTGAGGAATAAAATATAGTCTCAGACTAAATGATGAAAACTGCATATTTTAAGCTGAAGCCTTTGCAGTGGTTCTTGCGATCATTATTCTTCGAGGTTTCGGGAATTTTCTTCGTTATTCCTTTCTTGGAAGTGCTGAACATTTTTGTAGTAGGGGTTCCGATTTAGCTCGGTCCTCATCACCCCACAACAGTGAAATTATTCATAATATTCTAATTGCTACAAATTTGGCAAATTTGGTAATCATTCAAGAATACTTGGAATACCTCATAATAACTCGCTAGGATATATTCGTTTAGAGTTCCTTTGAAGAAGATTCTTTGAAGGACTGTTGGACTGTCTAATATAAGACTAAACGGATCTAGAGCATCCAATTCATTTCTTTTTACCTTTTTTGATTCCAATGTCTTGTAGTCTGTTTCCGATCCTTTTTCCATATACATCCCTCAACGCGAAACTGGAGCATTATGTTTTGACTCCAGCTTTAGTTTTTAGCATGATTTAACTTCCGGTAGCTTTCTATTGTATCGTAGGAGACGTTCAATGTTTCTGTTTCCATTCTATTTAGGTACTTAATCAGCTTGAACTACTTTATTAGAGGAACTAGCTTCTGGAGTTTTTATGCTGGATACACGTCTGGAAGTACTCATTAAAGTTCCTCTTCTGGAACTTTCTTTAAATTTAGTTTCCTTCACGATTCGATTCTATTTTCAGTTATAGTTTTCACTATGGTTCCACTTGCTCAAGCTCAGTACTTCCTTTAGACTTCGAAAGATTAGACCAAAATTAACCTTACGCAGTTAGTCCTATGGACAGATTTGAAGGCCTCTATTGCTCTGGTAATGAATTGGACTTCTATACACCTTTGTTTTGGTTGTCTTCTAGTCTGTTCCAATTCTCAAATCTTTTCCCCATGTAAGTACATCTCTCTTCACAATACTGGTGCATTCTGATTTGACTCCAATTTCAGTTTTCACCCTGGTTCAAGCGGTAGCCTGAAAAGGGCGAAGTATGTCCCTTTCTGGTTTTCGTAAACTATGGATGCGGCCATGGCTTCGCCTCTGTGGTCCTGCCACCATTCCATCTGCTTCTTTTTATTGCTTCAGCTTCTATTTTGTTTCCTTTGCAGTCAGGAATATAGTAGATCCAATCATAGATCTACCCTCCCTTACCTTGATAGAGCTCTGGAGATGGATGCGACCATGACTTCGGCTCTGTAGTCCTGCCACCATTCCATTTGCTTTTTTTATTGCTTCAGCTTCTATTTTGTTTCCTTTGCAGTCAAGAATATAGTAGATCCAGTCATAGATCTACCCTCCCTTACCTTGATAGAGCTCTGAAGATGGATACGGCCATGACTTCGGCTCTGTAGTCATGCCTCCATTCCATCTGTTTTTATTGTTTCAGCTCCTGTTTTGTTTTCTTTGCAGTCAGGAGTATAGTAGATCCCGTCATAGATCTACCCTCCCTTACCTTGATAGAGCTCTGGAGATGGATGCGGTCATGACTTTGGCTCTGTATTCATGCCTCTATTTCATCTGCATCTTTTGATTGTTTTAGCTCACATTATATTTTCTTTGCAGTCAAGACCCTGTCATAAATCTATCTCTAGATCCTGTCATAGATCTATCTTCCATTACCTTAGTAGAGCTCTGGAGATTTTATTTTGCTCCTCTTCTTGTTTTCTAACTTCGTAGAAATGAATTTCTCATCATTTTTGTATTTTTTTCACGATAAAATCTATCATAACATAAAAAGCTCTACTCATAAAACTAATCCGGGTTTATTTTTAAAACCAAAACAATAGTTAAATATAAAACATAATAAATTTCTAACTTAAGTTTTTCCATTAAAAACATGACGCCATTCCCGGTTTTTGGGGGAATTTTTTGCATAAATTTAAGAAAACAAAAATAAAGACTTAACTAGTCGGTTACTACTATTCAAAACAACTTTTATTTTGCAATTTGCAAACAGAAGATTTGTTTGTATAAATTATATCTTTTGCAAATTATGTGAGAATTTAATAAAATTGTTGTGGTTATTGTTTAGCCAAATATATTTATCTAAAAGCCCATCTATTTAATTTGTTACGACGAAATACTCATTTTTGTAATAAATTAAATAAACATCTTCATAAGAAGAAGCTCTTTCATATTGTTATTATAAATTTAAACAATTGTTGTTGATAATATTAAGCTACTTTTGTTAAAAAAACAGAAACAAAAAAGCTTTGTTTGATTTTGTTTACTTTTTTTCCAAAAAAAAGTTCTTTGTTTAGTGCAAACAAAAGAGATTAGAAAACAATTTTAAAAACAAATATTTTAAATCAAAACGTGTAAAGATTAAATGGTTGTGGGAAAGGATGTGATCATGTCGGGAGAAATGATCAACAGTAGATTGATCATTCTAAGACTAAGAGAATTATATTTATATTTTTCAATATTAAAACATTATTTTGTGTTTTTCTGTATACACTTTCAGAAAATTCGATGCATATTTTTTGGCTTTGCTAAATTTCTAGTGAGAGGAAAAAACGATCGATTTGAGAGAAAGTTCTTTGAAGGTAGGTTCTCTGACTTGTTTTCATAAGTCCTGTGAATCTTAATATTTGATGCTTTCCAAAAGAGATAGTGTAGTAATGTTTTATTATAGAAGAAAATCATCATGATCATGATCATGATCACGATCACGATCAATCAATTCTGTAATCAAGGAACCAGTTATGCAAAAAATTCAATCGAGTCCTAACCAAGAATGTAGAAACAGTTAGCTGTAAAAAATCTCTTAAAAAAGGAAATGTTATACTTTTCCAAAACTTTCTAAATCTGCCGGAGGATCAACATCTGTAGAAGGAAAATTTGAGCAAAATACATTATTTCAGTAGAGATCAGAGTTTCTAATGGGAGTCAACCTGCAATCGCCCCACTGACACACTAAGAACTACCAGGACACCTATGTAGACTTAATGTTGCGAAATTTTGTTTCGGAATTCGATAATCAGTAGAGATCGGAGTTTCTGATGGGAGTCAACCTGCAATCGCCACACTGATACACTAAGGACTACTAGGACACCTATGAAGCCTTAATGTTGCGAAATTTTGTTACTGATTTCGATTTATGAATATAGAATGCAATCGCCAAACATCCTTTAAAAAAGCCAACTTTTAAGTGAAGAAATAAAAAAAACTACAATTTTTACATATTTCGTAAAACAAATGACTTTTTTTTATTATTTTCATAAACTAAGGAAAATATCTAAGTCCTATAATTTTTAACAAATTCTTTTCAGTACTTATAAAATACGTCACATTCTAATTTGGTTTAGTATTTGACCATTATCTATATAAATGTATATATTCCAAAATGCTTGTTTTTAAAATAATCTATTTAAAGAAAGCTCCTTGTGGACGGGGATAGTCGTAACCTTTACCATCGGTGCTGGAAACATGAACATTGGAAGAATCACCATATGAGCCAGAGAAACCAGAGTCGTAAGATGAACCGCTTGAGTAAGATGAACCAGGAGCTGAAGCAGCACCATAGTTAGAGGAAGAACCGCCGGAGCTGTAAGATGAAGCAGGGGCAGATGCGGCACCGTGGTGAGAGGAGCTACCGGAAGCTGGAGATAAGTATTCGCGGGAAGGTTTAGAAGCAGCAGATGAGCCAAAGGAATCAAAAGATGAGAAGGAGGCAGATGGTGCGGAGGCAGAATGGTGAGAGCCGCTTGATCCATGTCCGAAGCTACCAGAGGAGGAACCGTGGTGGGAGCTGCCGGAGCTACCGGTACCGAAGCTACCGGAAGAGGAACCGTGGTGGGAACTGCCAGAGCCGTGACCGGAGCTACCGGAGCCAAAGCTACCGGAAGAGGAACCATGGTGGGAACTGCCAGAACCGGAGCCGAAGCTACCAGATCCAAAGCTACCAGATGAGGAACCATGGTAAGAGCTACCGGAGCCAGAGCCCTTTCCAAAACTACCAGAGCTGCCGGAGCCAGAGCCCTTACCAAAACTACCAGAGCTGCCGGAGCCAGAGCCCTTACCAAAACTACCAGAGCTGCCAGAGCCTTGTCCAAAGCTACCAGATGAGGAGCCGAAGTTGGAACTACCAGAGCCGAAGCTACCGGAAGAAGAACCTTTGTGAGAGCTGCCGGCGCCAGAGCCATGACCGAAGCTACCGGATGAAGAACCCTTGTGTGAGCTGCCAGAGCTACCGGAGCCAGAGCCATGACCGAAGCTACCGGATGAGGAACCGTGGTGGGAACTGCCAGAGCCGAAGCTACCAGAAGAAGAGGATCCATGGTGGGAACTGGGTGCAGGTGGAATGTATTCACGATTAACAGCAGCACCATGATGAGAGCTACCACTGCCAAAAGATCCAGAAGAGGAACCGTGGTGAGAACTGCCGGACGAGTGTCCAGCACCACCGTGAGATGAACCAGAACCGAAACCGCTGCCGGAAGAGTGGCCAGTGCTACCGTGAGATGAACCGGAACCAGAGCCGAAACCGCTACCATGAGATGAACCGGAACCAGAGCCGAAACCACTGCCAGATGAGTGACCAGCACTACCGTGAGATGAACCGGAACCGAAGCTACTGCCAGAAGAGTAACCAGCACTACCGTGGGATGAACCAGAGCCAGAGCCGAAACCGCTTCCAGAAGAGTGACCAGCACTACCGTGAGATGAACCGGAGCCAGAGCCGAAACTGCTACCATGAGAAGAACCGGAACCGAAGCCACTGCCTGATGAACCGGAACCAGAGCCGAAACCGCTGCCGTGAGATGAACCGGAACTGAAGCCACTGCCAGAAGAGTGACCAGCACTACCGTGAGATGAACCGGAACCAGAGCCGAAGCCACTGCCAGTAGAGTGACCAGCACTACCGTGAGATGCACCAGAGCCAAAACTGCTACCATGAGATGAACCAGATCCGAAACCGCTGCCAGAAGAGTGTCCAGCACCACCGTGAGATGAACCGGAACCGAAACCGCTACCAGAAGATTGAGATGTATAAGAATTGGTTGAGCCACTGCTACTGAAACCGCTTCCAGATGAGTGTCCAGCACCTCCATGAGAAGAGTGACCAGCAGAGCCACCGAAACCACCAGAGGAGTGACCAGCAGAACCACCGAAACCACCAGAGGTGTGACCGCCTGATGAGTGACCACCGAATCCGCCAGAGGAGTGACCTACACTACCGTGAGATGATGAAGAGTGACCGCTGGAACCACCGAAACCACCGGAAGAGTGTCCTACACTACCGTGTGAAGATGAACCAGCACCACCAAATCCACCAGAAGAGTGACCACCAGCACCGCCGAAGCCACCAGATGAATGGCCACCAGCACCAGAACCACCGAAACCACCAGATGAGTGGCCTACACTACCATAAGAAGATGATGTCTGACTGGCACTTCCATAACTGCCAGCACCATCATCGAAAGCTGGTCTACCTTCAGGATAATTGTAACCTAATTCGGATACATCAGCTACGACTACAGCCACCAAGGCCACAGCGATTAAAAACAATTTCTGCAATTTGATAATGAATCCAGTTTTGAACTACTACTCAACACGTAGAGAATATATTTCGTAACTTACCATTTTGTTTAGCGTTATTATTCCAATTGTGGTCAAATGCTAAATACTGTCCAGTTTGTGAAATGTTTAAGTTTTTATATAAAACTTTAATGTTAATTATTTTTTTTGGCAAAGTCTTCGTCATCTCACATCATAAAATATTCTCTTCTGTCATATTCTGGTTAATATTATTATAATTTTTTTTTTTTTTTTTTTTTTTTTTTTGTTATTATTGTTCTAGTGCTACAAGTTTCATTAAACACAACATCAATCGGAAACAGAGCAAAAACATCTCTCTTTGCCCTAAACATCTTCTTAAGCTGCAGCCCCTCTTACTGCTGCTGCTGCTCCACCACCCCTCCCCCTAAGTAGCCGTTGCGGTTGGTTATGAATCTAACACATTCCTATTTTTTTTCTAAATAATCTTTTTGTTTGTATGAATATGTGTTCTGTCTGTCTGTTTGTCTATGTTATTTTTTAATGTAGTTAATTATATAAATTACCAGTTGTTGTCATCCTTATAAATTGTTGAGATGTGTTTGTTTTTTTTTGGCAATCTGTTGGTTTGTTCTACCTGTTTTTAATTTCATTGTCTTCATTAAAATGAATTTATAAGTGTTTTATTTTTAAATTGTTGCTTTTCTGGGATACTAGTAACATTTTGTATTGTTGTTGGGTTATGAAGATTAAATATTTTTTTATTGTTTGTTTTTGCTACCACAAATATTTTAAACATTTAAAAATGTGTTAAAGTGTTTAATTACTTTAAAAACTCTATGTACATTATATGGTTTAGCTGAGGTCATGAATAACCCTTAACTTAAGATGAGTTCATTAATCCGCTTAATTTCAAAAGAGAGAATTTAAATAATTCAAGAAGTAATTCTTCAATATAGTTTTAATTAAGTTTGCAAATGTTATTTTTAAATATCAAAGAATAATATTTATTTAAATGCACCTAATAAATTTTATGGTTTTTTAAATTTGATTGGGTAACACAAAACTTATTAAATATAACAACTATCAATTAAGTCAAAGAAAAAATTTTAGTTAGGTGTGAAACATAAGCAAAAGCTGACTGCATCAATCAGTTTTCAAGAAAATCAAAAACGAAAAGGAATAAAAAATTAATATTTTTTGTTATGTTGTCCGTAATTAGTTGAAAACGATCATTTAATAATGCAATAAATCATCTCCAAATGAAGCTAAATAAGGCATTTTTTAACTTCAGACAAAGTAAAAACCAATAAGAAGAGTAATTATTAAAAACGTGCAGTAATTTTTAAAATGGAATCAAATTTTTTAAAGTGGAAATATTAAATAATAAACGATAAAAACGCAAAAAATAATTAGATACTCAGGATTTCTGAAATAAAGAATTTATAATTAGGCATATAATCTGAAATAAACTAGAATTGAATTAGAACTAAACTACAACTGAACTAGAACAAGAACTGAACTATAACTTATCTAGAACTGAATTTCAACTGAACCAGAACTAGAACTCAACTAAAACTGAAATAGAACTAAATTAGAACTACACTAAACTGAACTAGAACTGAACGAGAACTGAACTGAATTAGTACTGAAGTAGAACTGAACTAGAACCGAACTAGAACCCGAACTAGAACTGAACTAGAACTAGAACTCAACCAGACTCTGAACTAGAACTGAACTAGAACTGAACTAGAACTGAACTAGAACTGTAACTAGAACTGAACTAGAACTGAACTAGAACTGAACTAGAACTGAACTAGAATGAACTAGAACTGAACTAGAACTGAACTAGAACTGACTAGAAACTGAACTAGAACTGAACTAGAACTGAACTAGAACTGAACTAGAACTGAACTAGAACTGAACTAGAACTGAACTAGAACTGAACTAGAACTGAACTAGAACTGAACTAGAACTGAACTAGAACTGAACTAGAACTGAACTAGAACTGAACTAGAACTGAACTAGAACTGAACTAGAACTGAACTAGAACTGAACTAGAACTGAACTAGAACTGAACTAGAACTGAACTAGAACTGAACTAGAACTGAACTAGAACTGAACTAGAACTGAACTAGAACTGAACTAGAACTGAACTAGAACTGAACTAGAACTGAACTAGAACTGAACTAGAACTGAACTAGAACTGAACTAGAACTGAACTAGAACTGAACTAGAACTGAACTAGAACTGAACTGAAACTGAACTAGAACTGAACTAGAACTGAACTAGAACTGAACTAGAACTGAACTAGAACTGAACTAGAACTGAACTGAAACTGAACTAGAACTGAACTAGAACTGAACTAGAACTGAACCAGAACTGAACTAGAACTGAACCAGAACTGAACCAGAACTGAACCAGAACTGAACCAGAACTGAACCAGAACAGAACCAGAACTGAACTAGAACTGAACTGGAACTAAACTAGAACTGAACTAGAACTGAACCAGAACTGAACTAGAACTGAACTAGAACTGAACTAGAACTGAACTAGAACTGAACTAGAACCGAACTAGAACTGAACTAGAACTGAACTAGAACTGAAGTAGAACCGAACTAGAACTGAACTAGAACTGAACTAGAACTGAACTAGAACTGAACTAGAACTGAACTAGAACTGAACTAGAACTGAACTAGAACTGAACTAGAACTGAACTAGAACTGAACTAGAACTGAACTAGAACTGAACTAGAACTGAACTAGAACTGAACTAGAACTGAACTAGAACTGAACTAGAACTGAACTAGAACTGAACTAGAACTGAACTAGAACTGAAGTAGAACTGAACTAGAACTGAACTAGAACTGAACTAGAACTGAACTAGAACTGAACTAGAACTGAACTAGAACTGAACTAGAACTGAACTAGAACTGAACTAGAACTGAACTAGAACTGAACTAGAACTGAACTAGAACTGAACTAGAACTGAACTAGAACTGAACTAGAACTGAACTAGAACTGAACTAGAACTGAACTAGAACTGAACTAGAACTGAACTAGAACTGAACTAGAACTGAACTAGAACTGAACTAGAACTGAACTAGAACTGAAAGAACTGAACTAGAACTGAACTAGAACTGAACTAGAACTGAACTAGAACTGAACTAGAACTGAACTAGAACTGAACTAGAACTGAACTAGAACTGAACTAGAACTGAACTAGAACTGAACTAGAACTGAACTAGAACTGAACTAGAACTGAACTAGAACTGAACTAGAACTGAACTAGAACTGAACTAGAACTGAACTAGAGAACTGAACTAGAACTGAACTAGAACTGAACTAGAACTGAACTAGAACTGAACTAGAGCTGAACTGGAACTGAACTAGAACAAAAACTGGAGTACATACATCCGATCTAAAGTATCAAAATTTCTTACACAACCCTCGTATCTAATTAATAGTTCTCTATGGAACAAAAGCACTTAAAATCTTTCACTGTTTAAATTTTCTGCATATAAATATTTATAAATAAAAATCTCATCTTAATTATAACAAGTTTCTTTTTTTTACTATTTTTTTTTAAGTAAATAAAACTATAAATCTATTGTGACGAAAAACGAAAAATTAATAATGTGATAAACAGGTCTTAATATATGTATGTGTATCATAATTTTGCAAACTTAAAAGAGTTTTTAAAAACTTTTGGCAGTTTTAATTTAATTTGAAATTATGACCATATATTTCCACTACACGGTTAGAAAACAAAAGAAATTAAGAAAACAAGTTTTATTTTAATGTTTTTATGTTTTTGTATGGAAAATATATTTTTGTGAGTGTAATAACTCATTAACGGTAATTTGTATGTTTGAAATTATCGATATTATTGTTTTCATTTTTGATATTTATAGATATAACTAGTTGTTGATTATTGTTTTTTTTTTCTAAAATATTTCATTTCAAAAATTTATTAGATTCATTATTCAACCGTTAAAAAAATTTGTTTATTTCAGAGGTAGTTGTTTTTCTTGTTCTAGAATTCCAGATCTGTTTAAGTTTTTTTGGTTTTTTGAAATGTTGAAAATATTTCACTTGAACAATAAAAATAGTTAAATATTTGATATTTTAAATAAAATATTTAGCTGCATTTTCAAATAGAGTTATTTTTAAAATTATTACTGCAAAAGGAATCAATGAATATATATATTAAATACCTCATTAATTTTATTAAACCACAAATATTTTGATAAAAAAAATGTTTCATAGAATAGATTTTATTCAATCAATCTTCAAACCAAAATATAAAAATTCTTAATTTAAAATTTGTTAAAATTGCATATTTATTTCAAAATAGCCTAAGTGGACCTACGAGACTGTTTAGTCTTCTTCTCGAAACCGTTTGTTTATCATAGATAATAGATGACATTATCAAATGCATGTGATCGCGTAATCAATTATTTATTAATTAAACCCAGTTTTCGTCTTTATTTATATTTTTTTAAAATATATTATTTTGATCACGATCATAAATTTAATATTCTTTATTAATTATTAAGTGTGTGTGTGAGCGGGTGTGTCATTTTTAAAATTGTTTAATTAATTCAGCTGATTGCGATTTTTGAAACTTGTTTCGATTTTTTTCCTTTCATTGATATTACTTTCTAGATATTGTGTAATTTTTGAGACATAAATTCTATCTACAATCTATTAATTTGCATAAAAATTATTGTAAACATCTTAAGTTAAAATAAGATTTTATGCAATCATGCTAAACAAGTTGAATTAGAACAAATTGTGCTATTAATTTTAGAAAAATGATGCATGACAAGTTATTATTTGACAGTCATTTTTAAATTCTCTCAAAGACTATTATATAAAGTGAAAGTTTATAATTGTCCAACAGAAGATTTTGTACGGCGGAGCAAACAGGATAGTACCTACTATATAGATTATAAGAGATAAGATGGTTATTGTATTGACGTACTGGAACATTTAACATAATTATGAGCTCAAAAGCCCTATTCAGTGGGTACGGTTGTATGGGGGCTAGGAAAAATAATGGACCGATTTCAATCATTTGTCCTTGGGTCGAAAGAAGAGTATGTGTTCATCAAATTATCTTGAAAATTGCGACCTGTACATGGACACACAGACAGACATAGCTAAATCGACTAAGAAAGTG